GGTTCAGCCATGCTTCTTGAGACACCTTGATCCCTCTGAAATGCACATAGACGACTAGTATGTGATGGGCTTCACCTCTGCGAGCCGTGCCTAAACCTGCTGCAGAGGAGGTGCCTCTGCCCTTGGAAGTGCCCACGGTTCGCTCATGGCTGTGCCGGTGCGAAACCCAGAGCTGCTCTACCGGAGCAAAGCGACTGTGATGGTAAACGGGAGCAAAATTCAGCCTTGGGGCTTCAGGCCCTCTGCAAACGCTGCTGCACCCAGTGCTGTAGCAATATTTCAGGACTCTCTACTGAATCGGGAAAAGGGGTCATTAGCTGCTTGCTGTGGAGCTGCAGAGGGACTATAAAACCAGTGGGGATCTTCATGCATCTCACCAGAAGTAATGGCTGGATTTGCTTCCTGATACATTTCATTCTGTTAAATAACGGGGATTGCAGGCATGGGTGGGGTTATTCAGCAGGCGTAGGATGGATGAACCCTCTGGTTTCCTTCTGCAGGGTCAATCACTAAACATACTCCTAATGAAATCAATATCGGAACTGAGTCCTAGGTGGCTGTGCTTTTGGAAAGGAAAGGATTTAACAGGGCTGCCGGTGGTCTTCAGCAAAGGTCCTGCAGCTGTGGAGAGAGCTGGAGGCTGCCCTTGCATGTGAACGGTTTGAGGTTTGCCTACATTCCCCAGCCAGGCTTCTGGCTATCTGGGCCCCCAGGCAGGAGCGTGTCTCTCTGTGTCTCTCTGTCCTCCAGGACAAGCCCCAGCATGGTGGGAACCTTCTGCTGGGTGTAATATGTCCTTCCCAATTCTGCCACCAGCTCTCACCTCGGTCTGCGTGGCCTTTCAGACAGCTCATTATGGTTCTGCTATGATCTGATAAATGCAGCAAGGAGCATCAGCAATTACAGAGGGTGTCAAGAGTTAATTGGGCAGCTTTCAAGATAGAGGCTTTTCTTTGTGTACGTACAAAGATATGACGTGCTCGGAATAGCTTCCCCTCCTGATCTTTCGTTCTGGAGACGTGTACGTTACAGTCGGTTAATGCAAGACAAATTATGTCGTTCTTCTTGATTTGCCACATGTTCTGCCTATGGTGATTTGCCTCTGGGTTGTCTCGTTAAGTTGTCTAAACATGGCAAATGCAGCAGCTAAACATACTCGGCTTTTTCTCGAAGTTAATCGCATTGTACACATGGGCCTCCAGCATTGTCGGTTCCTAGCTGTGCCATCCGCTGCTGCCAGAGCATCTTTCACCAGCGCCGGTGCCCAGGAGAACGGGCCTGTGGTGGGACGGGCTGCCTCGAGCTGGGGCTGCGCTCTTCTACCCGCAATTACGCTGCATGCGATTAATGGGGGTGCTGATTTTTGTCTCCAGCATGCATCAGAAAATATTCAGGTAAGCTGCTGCTTCCTACTTGCAAGCAAGTGATGTTGGGCGGGAGAGTGGTTGGCCGAATCACCCTCTTGGCAGCGGATGCAGTGTCTTTTGTAGCAGTTTTAATGACCCCCCACTGAAAATCTTACCCTCTGTTTTAATTTTTTAAAGTTTCCGCATGCCATGGTGCTGATGTTCTCCAAGGTCAGCAGATTTTGTAGCTCTGGGAGACCAAAATATTAAGTTCTGGCTGGGAGTTCTCCGTCGCGTGATGAATATTTCCAAGGGGCAAGTTCCCGGGCAGACTTGGCCTGTTGCCATTAATGGAGTCAGGTGTGCAGCGGTGGAAGCATCTGATGCTTCGAGAGGAGCTGGGTCGGGCTGTGCGGCTCTTGGGTTTCTTGCCCGGGCTGTGTTTGCTGGGGTTTGATTTTTCCCCATCATCAGCTGGAGCACCCTTGGGGACGGTGGAGCCAGGCGCTGCGTTAGCCAGGGCTGTCCCATCTTTGTGAACACAGCAGGAAATCCCCTTTCAGGGAGGGGATCTCACGTGGAAGAGGCACGCACTCTGTGGCAGATGTGATATTTTACAAGGAGGGTAGATGCACGTCTCTCATAGCTTGGGCCACGTGTTATACCCCATTGATCTAAAGCTTTGCGAGTGCTGCGCTTTGCAGGTAGGTCCTGGCGCTGGGGATCACTTTGTGTCCCCTGTGGGTCAGGTGGGGACGGTCCCTTCTTTCCCTTACGTGTCAAAGCACCCTCACATCGGCAGCAGTCTGGCGTGGGAGAAGAGTTGGGCGCAGTTTATTGCAGTGCAGAAAATGTAATTGCCATGTGTAAACACATGGCTCCTTTCCCCAGAGCCCGAGCCCCAAGCAAGGGCAGGCGCTTGCTTCTGTCGCAGCTGTTTCCCGGCATCTCCCGGGCTTCATTCCGGGATGCGCTTGCTCTCCAAAGACCCGTCTCCGTCACTGGGATGGCCGTGCTTTCCCTGTGGTCCCTGCAAGCGTCTCGCCGCCGGTCCGGCACCGGACAGAAGCGTGGTGTGCACCGAGCGGCACGCCGGTAATGCGGGAGCAAGCCGCTGGGTGGCTGCCCCGTCTGCGCGTCCCCAAGGGCTGCAGAGAAAGCCGGGTGCTGGGGACACCTCCCTGCCCGTGGTCCTCTTAGGATGGAGCAGGGACTTGGGAGAGGCCAGAGGGGCAGAGCAGCTCTCTGGGACGGGCTCCAGCTGGGTTTCGGGCTTGGCCACAGCATCGCTAGCTGCTCCGCTTCTGTGTGTGTGTGTGTCCTTGCCTGTGAGGTACACACAGCAATCGTGACATCTGTGAACCCTGAGGTCTGCCGCGCAGGAGCGCTGCGGATGAGCAGGCAGGGATGCATTAACAGCGGGGCTGCTGCGTGCATCGTGCATATGTGTGGGGACGGTGCCAGAGCAGGCATGCTTCGTGGTTACATCTCTCCTAGCATCCTTGAAGTTACTTCTAAATTGCAAAGAAGCTTTGCGTTCTCCCGAGCATGCAGTAAATAGAGGAGCTGGAAACGTGTCCTGGTCGTCCTGTTGCGGTGAGGCACCTGGCGCGGTTTTGCAGCCGGGCTGGGGCTGTTTCGCCGAAGCCCTGAGCTTGGTTGCGGGCAGGGTGACTCATGCAGCTGCTCCTGGGGCCAGCCCTGCAAAAGTGCACGCTGGCAGATCAGACTGTGTGTGGGTGTGCAAAGCCTCAGCGAGGAACTTGCACACCTACCAGCTGCATCGGCGCTTCTGAGGACCAGCCAGCAGCGGGGGGGTAGGTGAAGCTCTTGGAAACCCACCGAGGGGGACAGACACGGGGGCAAGCTGGCAGGGCGATGCGCCAGCTTTTGGTGAGACATCCACTGCATGGAGACCATGGGAAACTCATCCTGCCCTGATCTGGTGGGAAGGTGAGAGGTGCCCGGTGCTAGAGAGCAGCGTGAGCTGGACCCCGGAGCTGAAATCCCTTCCCTGCCCGGGGCAGGGGGGGTGTCTTCACCCAGGGTTTGCCAAAGCCCCGCTGGCCCTGCCGGGGAGCCCAGCCCCAGCCCTCCCCAGCTCCCCAGCCCTGGGGCTCAGCTCCCGTCCTGCAGCTCCAGAGGGGCTCTAGTGCTTAGTGGGTTAAAATGCTGAACGTGCTTCAGAAAAGGGTTTTTCCCTCCTCCCTCTGCACCCCCTGCCCTGTGTTTAAATCCTGGGAAGCTCAGCTCTGCCCACTGTTCTTTCACCCCTATTTCAGGCAGCTGTGGATTTTCTCTCCTCCCTACCCCAAAATAGCTAAAACTACCTATTTTATGGAACAAACCCCCCCCCGCTGCCAGGTATTTGGCTTTATCAGCTCAGCCCCGTGCCTTGTAGGCAGCGTGCAGCGATCTGGATTTATCGGACTGTCAGTAACCCCCACTGAAAAGCCTGGCTTTGCGAGGAAGTGCTGTTTACTGAAAATGTCATCTTTTATTTAGACTCCTGCTGCAACGAACCCATGTCTTTTTTTCAGGACTGTTTAATTGCACAGCCCCTGACACGGGTTCCTGGGTGGTTTTTTCCTTCTAATAAGCACTAGGTAGCTTGGCCAGGGGCAGAGAAGGGCTCCTCTGCGGCAGGGAGGGGAGGGAAGCGAGAGCAAGACGAGGAGCCAAGGGCAGCTCAAATCTAATGATCACATGCTCGTGAAGCGATGAATCCCAGAAAGGGCATCTCTGTGTGCGTGCCAGCTCACCCGCCCTCCTCCTCGCACGGTGGCAGTGTGGAGGTAACGGGTGCGATCCCCCCGCCTGGCACCCAGAGGGGCCGGGGATTCAGGTCGCTTCCTGGGCAGAGCTCAGATTTGTTGAAGTCGTGATAACTCGAGTGCTGGAGCCCTTCGCCTGTGGGGCTTTTCTGCAGCTCCAGAGGCTGATCTGAACCTTTCCACTCACTTTCAGGCTGGAGTGGGATTTGTGTTGGCTCTGCGGAGGTTTGGGAAGGGGTTTTAGCAGAGGGGGAGAGCTGGAGTAGAGGGCTGCGACTGTAACTGATGGCAGAAATAACTTTTCTTCTCCCTCTCCCCTTTCCTCCCTGCAGAAGAAGGCAGAGGCTGCCCACCGGATCCTGGAAGGACTGGGTCCCCAGGTGGAGCTGGTGAGTGTTACCTCTCGCTGCGGGGAGCGGGAGCCGGGCCGGGTTTGGAGAGGTTTCTGGGTGGCGAGCGCAGCACCCTGTGTGCGCAGCACCCTGCATGTGTGTCTAAGCTGTCAGAAGGAAGCGCGCTGCTGGCCGGGACCTCTCGCTGGCATGGCACCAAGGCAGGAAGCGAAGTGGCTGAGATGAGTACTGAAACAGGCAGACACACACAGCCCCAGCCCTCTTCGGAGAGCCTTAACCCTTAAGCTCCTTCCTCACGTGCTGCAGCGGAGCTGGGTGGTGGAAGGGGCTCCAGCGCAGCCTGCCTCTGCTCAGGATGCTGATGGCTTCATCTGCTGACGGCAGCCACAGCGCCGGGGCTGCGGGGCTGCTGCCTGGCCAGCCAGCCTCGCGGTGCTGCGTGGGAGGGATGGGTGCTGGGGCAGCTCTCCGCTGTCCCGCCCCACTGCAGAGGGAGGAGGGTGCTCTGTAAGCACGGCCCGGTCGCAGCTGCAGTGACCTGCAGGTATCGGGGCTCGCATGCATCCTATTGCTGTCTCCCTCATGCACAGGGAAGCTGAGAAAAACAACTTGTCATAAATTGTCAGTTTGGGGCTGTCCCCTCATCAGCAAAATCCAGCTCTAAGTCAAGCAACTGATTGATGGGAGGGGTGGCTGAAAACAACCTCTGAGGGTCTGGAGAAGGGTGCTGAGAAAGGGTGCGTCTGCAGTGATGCTGCTGGAAGGATCGGAGGGGGACAGACATGGTCTGACGGAGCATCTCTTGCTTTGCACTGGCCATGGGGTGCCACAGAGGGAGCCGTTCCTGCCAGGTGGGAGTGGGCAGCTCACAGTCCTCAGCAGCTGTAATTTGGACTTGCCTTGTGGAGGTGATACTAATTACTATCTTCCCCGGGCGCGTAAGGGAGAGGTCACAAGGGAATTAGTGCTCACTGCTACGTGTCGAAGCCCGCTTCCTTGTTTGGGGAGGTAGCGCTCATTATTTTTCCTTTGAGTCACCAGGGTCAAACCCTTTGCTCTCTTTCTGCTCTAAAGATTGGCAGTGCGTGGGGTTGGTGCTTCCTCATCTGAAAGATGTTGCATTTCCTTTCCTTCCTCCCCCTGCTTTTTTTTGTTTTTTTCCTTTTTTTCCTTTTTTTTTTTTTTAGTTTGTTGATGCTTTGCTCTTGGGTGCTGACGCTGCACAGGGGAGCTGCAGCGGAGTCCAGTGCAAACCTTTCCTCTGTCGCCCTGCCTTATTCCTTGGAGGGTAGGGGAAACCTCTGCTGAGGAAACCCTGCAAAACTGCGGTTGGGCTCTGTGTGCATCTTGCAGACTGTCTCATCTGTCTGCCCAGAGAGAGATGCTTCCTATGGCCCAGCCCCCACGCCGTGTCAGGCAAAACAGCACCCGGGACCTGCTAGTGGCCTCTGAGAGATGAGATGAATAGTCAGATCTTCTTCTGAGTTGGAAAGGAAGCAGGTCCAGGAAGGAGAGCAGCTTTGCATGCTCTGCCCGATGTGCACACCTGCTCCACTGTGTTGCACACACGGTGCACCAGCCCTGGAGCTGCTGCAACCCAGAGGTCTCTTGAGGCGGCCTGGTGCTAATCCTCGTGCAAAGCCTCTGCAAGGAGCGGTGGTGGCTGTCACCCAAAGGCAGGGTCTTGGATTGCTGTCGGCTCTGCTCAGGCTGCTGACATCTTGCTTTTGGTTTTTCAGAGAGCTCTGGTTATTGCATTTGCAACAGCGATGGTGACGGATGCGCATCAGCTCGGTAGCAGGGCAGCTTGCCAGGGGCTGATGGTGCGAGGCAAGAGGTCACAGTGGAAGTCGGTCAGTCGCGGCTGAGAGAGGCCGGAGGTTTCCGCAGCGTTGGCAAATGGTGGCTGCGAGCAGGGTGAGGTGGTACGAGGTCTTGGGTGCTGCTTGCAGGACGGAGCTGGAGGCTGTGTGCCCGGCTTGTGCTGGCGTTAATGGGTGGAGGGGCCGTGGCGGGGCTCTGCCCTCTCTCCTGCTGGCGGCAGGTTGCTCCAAGGGGTTTGCGTTTGAGCGAAGAAAGTCATCATATCGCCTGAGCACATCGATGGGCTTGTTGAGGCTGCCTGTAGCACTGGCTGGAAGGAAGGGTTTTGAGAATGAACGAGTATAGCATAAACAGGGATTTACCCAGAAGTTTTGGGTCTGTGTCAGGGGTTTCCCATCAAGTTGGAAGCTGCTGGGAGATGGCCCAGCTCTGGTGGGAAACTCTAGTTCCTGACTTCAGTCTTTTAAACAGCTCCCTCTGAGCTTTCAGCTCTTCACTGAAACTGGTGTCCTTGGGTTGTACATCTCAAGGAAGCAGCAAGAGTTTGTTGCTGGTTCCTGGCTTCCTACTGCTTTGACCTTACAAGGTCTGGCCCTGCACTTTTTATCTTAGAGGTGTCATTCATGTCTGATCCTCTTTGGAGTATCCTCGGTTTTGTGCTCCTGGGGTTTTAAACGTGCAGAATTGCCCCCGAATTGGCCCTGCACCTCTTCCCTGGCCCCCACGTCAGCCCCAGCCGATGCAGAACACACCGTGTGCTGTGCAGTCGCGGCCGCTGCCCTCTGCTTGGCCGGGGCTCAGCTCCCTGTCCCCGTGGTGGAAATCACCCCTGCGCAGGGATCCCCGAGAAGCAGGGATCCAGTTGAGGTCCCGGGAAGCTGGCACTCCCCTGTGGGTCAGGAGGAGGTTGTGACTCAGTAAACCAGGACTCTGCTCATTTCATCCCTGCAACGTAGCGGTACCATTTTAAAAATGACCCCATGTTTTCCCCGGGGAGAAATGTCATTGAGATGTGTAGTCTGAACACTGCAGTGGCCAGAAAGCAATCGAGACCTTCCATTCTGTTTTATTTTTAAAGAGCTTTCAGTAAATGCAAGGTTTTTCCAGTGATAGCTTTGCATTGCAATTATGTTTTTCTAAAATTTCATCCCCCAGAGAAATGCATTCCATGTTCCTTACCCTGGAGAAGCTCTGTGGATGTTTTGTACTTGTCACCTTACCCATCTGACCTGTCAGCTTTACTTCTGCTTACTCATTGAGAAAGCTGTAATGCTGTGCAGGTTGCGGGTGGCTCTGAGAGATGCTGTTTCTCAGTCCCTGCCCTGTTGAGAATAAAGTTTCTTTAACTATTTAGTCTGTGAGGACATGTTCTCTATGGTGTAGGTAGAACTTATCTCCTGGGCTTGCTCCACTGCGTGGGCTGAGGTGCAGTGCCAAGGCTGTTGTGCTGGCAGAAATCTCTTTGAGATGCTGGTGTCATGTGGACGTGGGGTTTGGGTCCCGGAGTTTCTTATTTCTGAATGTTTGGGCATTTCTTTTAAAGTGATGCATTCCAGTGCTTGTCTGTTAACACTTAGGTTTGCTAACTGAGAATTTGAGTGGCTGTTTATATCACAGAAAGGTAGCGGTGGAAAAGAATCAGCAGCCTTTGGTGAGCTGAGTGGCATCAGGGCATCCGTGGTGTCCACGTGCACACGAGCATCTAACCCAGGTGCAAACCAAAACGTTTACTCCACTGCCTTCTCCCAGGAGGAAGGTCCCTGCAACTCACCGCATGCCAGCTTCTTTGCTTTGATTTTTATGAGCACAGAGGGAAGAGAGGCACTTTTGTTTATCAATATTTCCAGTTCCTGCAGTCCTCTTCCAAGAGGCAGTCGCTGGTCAAGGCAGCCCAGTCAAGCCTGTCCAGGGTGACTGTGGACGTGATGCTCCAGAGCCACGGCTTGATTTCTTCTCTCTGTGGTGCAGACCTGCCTCTCTCGAGCTACGTGATGAGACGGATGTCTGTGTTCCTCTGAGCTTTCCAAGCGTGAAGTGCACAGCCAGCTCTGAGCCAGGAGTCGGACCAGCTAAGAGGATTCATGATAGAAATACCCCTGGGGAAGGGGCACTGCTGAGAACATGTCTCCTTCTCAGGGACCTGCTTGTCCCTCTCATCTGCCCTGGCTATGCCAGCACGGGGTGGCCAGGTGTCTCCTCATGGTTGTCTCCTGGCAGACTTGCAGCCCGCCATCCCCTCGCAGGGTAACAGATGCCCAAACGCTGCCGCCAGCCCCGCAGCCCTCCTGGGAGGCAGCAGTTCATCTCACCCCGTCTGTCTGCCTGGGCTCCTCTGCATGCCTCTTCTGTGTGGGGATTGCGTGTGCTTTCCCAGCGAAGAGGGGGATATCCAAGGGCAGCCAGAAAAAGAAGCTGATGACCTGCTGGTGCCAAGATGCAGTGGTGATGGGCTGCAGAGAGTAGGGAGAGCTACACTCGCTCTCCTTTCTATGCAGACCGATGTGGCTGTCCCGGTGTGTGGCAGCCCCAGGTGAGGCAGTATCTGTTTTTTACAGGGTGCTAGAGACAGGCTGGCTCTGTAGAAAAACAAGCTTCTGTGACAAGCACCTGTGATGGTGATGGGGAGATACCACAGAGGAGGTGAGAATAGCACCTTCTTCAAACCGGAGGAGAAAGGGACCCACATGTGTTTGCAGGTTCTTTCCTCTCCAGTGCTGCTCACCTGGTTGAGCAGATGTTCAGCAGATGTTTTGCTCTTTTCCTGTGTTTAATCTGAGATGAAATTGAGTGGACCCAGAGTGTAGCCTCAGCTGTATGGCCACAGTAGGAAGGTGAGCTGGTTTGTATGTAGCCACGGTCAGGATGCTGCCTTCAACCAGCGTCCGGCCACCACGTGTCCCCTGCCTGTGTTTGGCCACAGATTTTAGATCGCTCACAGCTGATCGGTGAAAGTTTGTGGATGAACTGCTTGAAAACTTGGGTGACGTTTCCATGGTTGGACAGGAGCTGTGCTTATTAGGTGCCCAGTTGCTGACGATGGTTGGGCCATGGCAAGCTTTTGATTAGCACAGTCTTGGACGTGTTCACACCAGCTTAGCCAATGACTAGAAAAGCGTTGAAGGGCTTAATCCTGAGCACCCTGTCAGCCTGCTTACGTGGACACAACTGGTGGCAGCTCCTGGAGCACGGCCTGAGCTGTTAATCACAATGGGTGGGATCGAGCGTGGTCTCTGTGGCACCTCTCCCTCCCAGAGGTGGGACCCTGTACTGTGGCAGGTTCCCCAAGGGTACATCACCTGCGGATGGGAAGGGAGAGGTGGTGAGGGCAGTGACTGGCTGAAGGTGGCCAGGGATGGATCCAGCTCTCCTGACTCTCTGTGGAGGGCCCCAGCACGTCCCCAGTGAGGGTGTGGGGGACAGAGCAGCTCCGTGATGGGTGCTCACATCTGGTGCTGGAGACAGCCACGGTCACTGGGCTCTCCAAAGGGCAACCCTGGATGAAACACTTGTCCTACTGGAGCCCAGTGCCCCTCCTGAGGGACGGACAAGAGCATCGCTCTATGCGTGGGTGCTGGGGGACGGCGGCGATGTGCCCGGGGACCAACGCGCCCCAGCATTGCTGGAAACCGCAGGGGTGAACGCTTGTCCTGCCTGCAGTTGCCTGCGCTTGGCTCCCTGGGAGAGCTCAGGCAGGCTTTTGCCGCGTAGACATAACAATTTGCAGCACACAGACTGTCTCTTCCCGCTTCCCAAGCCCCCCTTTCCCCTCGCCTCCCCCGTGTCATATGTTCCAAAGCGCACTGCGTTTTTCAATCAGTGAATAACAACCACGTACTCCGCCGTGCCGTGTTTATGTGGATTACGTCGCAAATTGCTTGTTCTGAGCCAGCTCGCTTGAGCGCTGCCTGCCCTCCCACGGGCTGAGCCGGGATGCACTGTGACTCGAGCGGTGCTGCCGGGAGCCAGCACCCTCCAGTACGGCCGGGGAGCGGGGCTGGGGGCACCGGGCGGGCTGGGGGGCGTGGGGACGGGTGCCTGGGCTGGCACAGCTCGGGGAGACGGGAACCTGCACTGAGGTGGCAGCGCTTCTGACAGGTTTAAGTTTCTAAATGTCAGACTGTACCATTTATGTCTTCATTTTTCTTATTTATTTCAGCCATTATACAACCAGCCTTCAGACACCAGGCAATACCATGAAAACATTAAAATGTAAGTACGTGGCAATAAAGGCTATTTTAAATGTCAGGTTGGGCATTAGGCTGGAGCGGGAGGGATGCTAGCTCACTCCCAGACCCCGATTAAAGCTGCCGAGGAATCGCGAGCATCCTTTTAGAGCTGGTGTTTCGCTGCTCTGGGTGCCTGAAGCACAAACCAGCTCTAGGAGCGGCTCCAGGAGCCCAGCAGTTGGGAGCCGTAGCTTCGGACGGATGCTGAAGGTGCCGTTTGATTTTTCTCGAGGGGGTGGACGCGGGTCCTGGCTGGTCTCTTGGCGTTTTCCCAGAGAGCACTCACTTTGGGTGCTTTCTTCTGTGTTTTAGGCATACTGAAGTACTAAATCAGCTGCCAGCGCACGCGTGTGTGCGTGTGTGTGTGTGTGTGTGCATGCGGGAAAAATGAGGCAAAATGAAAAGTTGCAATTACAATTAGATTTTCATGAAGCACCTCTTGAATGTCTAATAACAACTGGTTATTTCAGAGATACTTACTGAGACCTAGCAATCATCTCATTTGACTTATCACCTCAATACACGATTTAATCATCAACCTGCTTTTAATAACCACAGTGACTTCCTGAGCATAGAAGAAATATAACAGATAATGAGAATAGTGATAATTGTGATTATTGTTGGAAATTTAAATAGTCAAACCAGATCTGAAACTTTTATCTGCCTTGAATGAACTGATGATTGCTCTGAGCTGCCTGCAGCGTGTCTATTTTGGTATGGGCTTGGTCAGCTGGCGATAATCATCTTTAATAATCTATTAACAGAAGTTAATAATCTTTTGCTTTTCAGTGGTATGTTAATTGATCCCAGGGGGATTATA